TATAAGACTGTCTCAGTCGTAGACGTAGGGCAAGGCAGAGAGAAATGTAAGTCGTGAAAGGCTATTATACGTATACGACTTACGTTTCTCTCTGCCTTGCAGTACGTCTACGACTGAGACAGTCTTAAGCGTTTACGGATTGTTCTCTGCCATCAGCCTATGTCTGCAAGAACGTGACTTCGTGTAGATATCGTCGTCTCGCTCGCCGGCTTACCAGCGAAGTATACATTTTTATCGTGGCCCGCCTGGCTTATCGCGTCGCTCTCGCTGATAATCTCCACGCTCTGTCCGCTGTCCTTTAACTTCTCCTCGAAGTAGCTCTTCAGCTCGACGCTTCTCGTCGTTTTGCCGCTGCACGGTATGCCAGTTACCACAATCAACGGCATTTCGACGCAACGCAGCTGACGAGACCTTTCTTTTTTTTTTGGAAATTTAATGTGTCGCAAACCCAAAAGTTCCTTGCGGTTATTTTGGCACGGATCTAAAATTGCCTTAGATTGTCTTCGCAGTCTTTCTTAAGAAATTCTACGTGGCCCGAGGAGAAATTTTTATCTTCGCACGCAGACAGTTTTGTAACCTAACCTAACCTCAACAGACCAACAACGCGAGGCGACGCGAAGTAAAACAAACTTGTAGCGAGGAATGTTCTCCTCAGTTCGCCGGCAGTGCTGAAAATCCACAAATATACGTGACGCGAACCATAGATTTCTCGGTACCGTTGATACACTTCGAAACGCAGCTCGTGGAGGATTGTTTTGTGTTTCGGATTTAGCAGCTGACTCGTGAGACACGCAATTGCACTTTGGCATCTCCCTTCTGCTCTTCACCGACGTCCCGTCAGCAGTGGTGTCGGATTGGTCGCGTTTTCAGCGCATGCGCGTCGATTTGAGGCTCACTGAAGTACCGACTACGGACACATATAAAAATAGGCAGTCGTGCCCCGTCATTTATCGAATAATGTCCTCTGGTTTCAAACGCCGACACTTAATTTTCACATTATGTTATCATAATTAAAAATCAATTGTACTTCGTCAAAACACACGCGGATCTACGTACACGACCACCACAGTCTGATCGCTTGATAAGTTCGGCCGAAACCGATGGTCGAAACGTAGCGATACTTAAAGCATTAAATTCGCCAGATACGGTCAACAAACCTTAACGTTGTTTAATTATTGCTGGCGAACCTGAAGAATATTCCTGTCAGTATAAAAATAGGGCCTTCACAGGACCTTCGTATATCAGAGGTTACTACTTCACTGACGCCACATTGCATCTGCGCATGCCCGAAAAAGGGGTGGTGGCAGATCTAACAACACTGGTCCAACCTCGCTCCGAGTGCAGAAAGTGCGGGTCGCCGTTTGACGTGTTTCCTCGAGCCTCGTGGACGCGTGCGCGCTCCGCCGGGCACGGGCCAATCGCGCGCCGGCGGGGGACGTCGTCGTCGCGCGCGTGGCGCGCACGGATCCCGCACCGCCGCCATCTGCAGGCTACGTGCTCGCTGGCGCTCGCGCTATCGCGGATATGTAGAATGAAAACAACAGTGTCGAACAGTTGTCAAATACAGATGCATGTAGACCAGCCGTTCTGACCGGGGCACGCGATAACGTGACTTGACCGTAAGATGGCCGAGAATGAATTTGTATCCGACGGCGACGAGTGCCTCGTCACGGAGGCTATTAACTTGGACATCGAGGAGGTATCTGTCCGCGCGATCGCCCGTGCGACGATATGAAACTCTTATCTAACGCGTGCACGCGACGCAATCGTTATCGCGCGGCGCTTCGCCCCCACGCGGCACCTTGCATTCTCACATTCGCACCTTCCCCTCGCAATTTAAGGCTCGTTTCCTGCCGCCGCACCGACGAACTAGCGCAATAAATTGGAGTAAGACAAGTGTATTTTTTTTCTCACGCCAGCTTACTGCACCAGTTCGCCAGTGCAGCGATAGAAAGCAGGCATCTGGCCCGGTCTGGAGACCCCTGTAACCAGAGACCGGCCATAAGAGAGTTCGTCAAATTCCAGCGAGTGAGAGAGAAACGTAGACTATCCCTACGACTGGCAAGAATTTGACCAACTCTCTTGTGGCCAGTCTCTGATTGCAGTCGGAAGTCGGAACTGTGTGTTCTTTCTGGGCGAGAGAAAATGGGCCGGCTCATAGTCCCGACTTCTCACTGACGACTAACGAATCATTGGGAATTGTTACGACAGCGGTATTCACGTCTCGCTCCTTCTAGTTGGATAACATGGAGTATGCCATACCAATCGTGGACGAATTACCCACCTTGGAGAGCATACTGATGGAGCCCGATTACGAGTCACTGTCGGAAACGGAGGACGACGCCGGCGTGCCGTCGGGCGAGAAGCTCGGCAGCAGCGAGACAACCAGTATCGGCAGTCACCTGTCGCTCAACTCGCTAAACAAATCCTCTAAGACCGCTCAGAGGCTGGCCTCGGGTGTTATCTTAAGGCATGTCATACTCAAAGGAATAACATCACAAATTGTATCGGCCAATGTGAGCAATTGTTCCATTCATTATGCGGCGAGACTTGCGGGAGTCCGTGTATTCCTTTAAATCCCTGAGCATTCGTTCCGTGCCGCACGTGCACGGTAACCGAGCTCTCGAGAGAAACATAGAAACGGTCGTTCATTCCTCAACGTGGTTTACGCAGGAGAGGGTCAACGCCGGCTTGGCTAGCGCGGTCGCGGCCGGAGGGAACATGCTGATAATCGGCACCAGTCACGGTTTGATACTCGGCTTCGACTCGTCGCAGACACTGCGATGGTGCGATCAGGAGACGAGGCACCAAGGCTCGGTCTCCGCCCTCTGCTTCAACCACGACGGCAGCAGAGTGCTGGCCGGTTTCGTCCGAGGGCACATCTTGATGCTGGACAGCAGCAATGGCAAGGTTTTGAGGACCCTCACCGACGTACATCCGCTCGACACTGCTGTGTTACACGTTAAGGTACACTACGCCGTTCGATTCCCCTGGCGCGTGACGCGAGAACCGCTCCCGTCCGGCCGACCGACAGGTTTGAACCAGCCGCTTCAGTTTACAGATTCGCCGAAGATAGCCCTGTGCAGCGACAGCGGTGGCTCGGTGTTCGAGCTGAATTTCACCAGAGTGATGGGCGTGCGAGGCTGCGACAGCAGGTGCTTGTTCAGCGGCTCCAAGGGAGAAGTGTGCACCCTGGAGCCCCTGCTGTTGAACCATTTGCCGTCGCACCCGCTGAAAAATTATACATTGGTAGCAATGGCGACGTTGTCGAAGGTTGTGCCTCGCAGTAGACTCGAAGGCGTAACGTCGGTTGAACGCGCGTAAACGTTTACTCTTGTTCCCCCAGGTAATTGTAGTCTGCATAAGACCGCGAATGCGCGTTGTCTTGAGTCACCCGTTGACCGGCGCTGCGGTGGCACCACCGCAACTGTCTTGGCAACTAGTTGTCATACAAACGGCCGACGGCACTCGCGTGATCGACCCGGTGCTGGCGCTTGCGAGGGACAACGTGGTGTACTTTTATCAAGTATTGATACTCACGTGTATTATACCTTATTCGATGCTCCGTTTAAATACTAAGAAATATTGCCCGTTGACAAGGTGTACACGGAAATTGGTACGCGGGTAAAACTGTCGCCCCTTCGAAGGATGACGCTACCGTATATGATAAGCAATTTGAGGTGGTTAAATCCGAGATCTCTCGTGGTACTGGACGCTCAAGAGAAGCTGCATTTGTTGGACGTGAGAGCGCAGGATAACTTGGAGACGTTGGACATGAGTCGCGTCGGCATTTCTTACGCTTCTAGTCATTTTAAGGGATTGTCCACCGGCGGAAACGTTTCCAAGGTACGAGGAGCGCTGTACGAGAGCAAAGGGCAGTGTACTTTGATGCTACATTTACGCGTATATTTGTTTTTCGCTCAGGCCATGGCGTTAGCCGGTGAGCGCGCGTGCTACAACACCGTAGTGGTCTTCGGTACGCAGCTGTTGTTATTAGGTACAAAGAGTTTACATGTGATATGTATGAGAACGTGGACTGAGAGGCTGCAACATCTGATCATGCAGGTAAGTTGAAAGCGACGGGAAATATCCGATTGCGAGAGTAAACACGTTCCCTCCGTATTTCAGAAACGTTTCCCCGAGGCGTTGGCACTGGGCCTTTCGTTTTATCAGGACAAAGGCAAGGCGGTTATCGGGCTGCGAGGCTCTAAGCAACGTCGCAGGCAAATAGCGCGCGAAAGGGTTTGCGAGGTACTGGTGCAGTACATGGACGAGTTAAATCAGTGTTTGGTGGACGAGAATGTGGACTACGACACGATAGTGCTCACCTGCGTCGATTACTGCATTCAACTGGAGAATATAGATTTGCTGTTCGGAAAGTTGTGGGACATAGTCTACGAGTCGGAAGGACTGAAAACTAGTTACCTGCACGCCCTCGAGGCTCCTCTGCTGGACGGAAGTCTTCCACCGAGGCTGCCGCCGCTGATCGCCCAGCAATTGGTCACTCTTTACGACCAAGAAAACAAAATAGATTCGCTGGAGGCGATCGTGGTTCTACTCAATGTGGATTGCTTAGATATTCATCAAGTACGTTAACAGTGGGGAAACTAGGCATTTGCGTTTTAAGAAATGACGTTCACAACGTCCACGGTGTCAGCAACGTACGTTTTTGCCCGTAGGTTACGACAATCTGTCGCCAGCGCGGACTTTGGGAGGCGCTGATTTATCTGCAGACAACAGCGTTGGGCGATTTCACTGCGCCCATTCATCAGCTGGTACCGGTACTTCAGAATTTATTGCAGGATTCCGTAACCGCCCTTTCCCGAGACTGTATAAAACTCGGCAACGCTATTCTAGTTTACACTAGCTGCTGCCTCGCTGGTCGCGGATTTCCCAAGGACGAGCTCCCCGAAGGCATGCCGCAGAAAGCGAAAGCGGACATACTGCGAGCCCTGTTGTCCCAGCACTCCAGCTTGGCGAATGACATGGAGAGGCAGTATCCGTACCTGAGAACGTTGCTGCAATTCGACGCCAAGGGCTTCCTCGATGTTATAGCCATCGCATTTCAGGAGCCGGAATTTACCTCCGAAATGGGCCTCCGGCACAGACAGAGGCTCATAGACATCTTGTTGAGCATCGTTCTGCCGAGCACGCCGCTTACCCCGAAAAATATCGATTACATCACGACGGAACAGCAGTTTCTGGTTCTCATATTCGTCGCAAACGAAGTGTCTGAAAACACCGTTACGCTAGAGTCTAGTATATTGAATAGAATGATAGATATATTGTGCATCGACTCGCACGTAGAACTGTCCAAGGACTTTAAGGCTGAGAGAGAGAGCGCCGTGTTGGGGTTGCTGCATTCTAAAAAGTTGTGCAATATTTCTGATAACACTTTATTAAATTTAGCAAATAGAGCGAGTTTGTAAGTATCTCTAATTCATCTATATAAGTTTCTACGTTGTGCATCGTTAGTCTGCTGCATATACGTCGCAATTATTCTCACGACGGCTTTGTGTTGCAGCATAAGGGTCGCGGAATTGCTGTACAGCGCGCGAGAGGATTGGGTGGCGGTATGTAAATGCATGATCTTGGAGCCATCGAGGCATCACGACATGTGGCCCTGGCTCGAGCATCTGCCGACCGTCTCGTTGGACCAAGCGATATCGACTCACGCCCAGACTCTCGTGACGATCAACGCCAATCAGTTCGCCACGATTGTCGCGGCCCGATTGCAAAACAAGATCGACGCGATACTGCACGGTCTCGTCGATAACGTCAGCTTGGAATACAAGCTGCTAGGAGCGTTGTATCAGGTCGCGCAGTACAAGGAGGAGGACGTTTCCTTGGAATTGACGACCGAACACCTGGAGAGATATCTAGCGCTGATGTGCGAGTTGGAGCCGGCGCGCGTGGTTCGTCATTTACACGGGCCGCACGGTTGTAGATTGGACGAGGCGTTGAAGATCGTCCAGAGGTGGAATTGTAAGGACGCGGAGGCGACGATGCTGGAGAAACTGGGCAATTACCAGGACGCGTTCGATCTTCTGCTGAAAGAGTTTGAAACTCGGCTGGAGATGTATCGGCAAGACAAGGCTTCGGAAAGCGAGACGGTGCACGCCGCCATTCAGCTCGCGGGGATATGTCGGAGATCGGCGGGCAATCTCGATTGGATGCCCCTCGTGGAAGTTATGTTTCGCACGCATTCGGACAACAACAGGCAGAAGGCGGACGTGTTGAACGGCAAGTTGTTGAGATTAATTCTGGAATCTCTGAGTGGCACGTCGATACTGTCCAACATACTGGAGCAGATCCTGAGAAATCCATCGGCAACGAGCGGAACGATGGGCGACATACGGCAACTGCTGTCCGGAGTCCTCATTCAGTCGCGATACGAGCAAACCCTAGTCGAAACTACCGCGCGATTAGTGAGCTTGGAACTTCACAAGGCGCTGGAAAAATCCTTGAGGTAGCCTGAAAGTTCTAATGACACATGAAATACCTTAGTTTTTAACCGAGTGCGCAAGTTTGTAAAGCTTCACGGTGCATCTCCTTGAATGTAACATTTTTTCCCTGACAATAGAACGTAAGGGAGGGAGACCTCGTCTAGGTTGAACGACGAAAAGCACCGCGAAACTCACAAACTTTTGCACTCTTACACGGACATATCAGCTGTATGCAACAATTTTTCCATCACTCAGGGACGCCGGTAGAGCATGCGGCAACGTTTCCGTAACTTGCCCCGTGTGCAGACAGCCGCTGTCCAATTGTTCCGATCACGTAGTCGTGTTCAGCTGCGGCCATGGATACCATTCCACGTGTATCGGCGAGCCTAAGTCATGTTACAAATGCCTCAATACGAAAGGATGGGCGCCCATCGCTACCAACGTCACGCACGCCGTTCCGCAGCCTCCGCCGGTTAGTTGTACACAACTGCGAGGTATCCTCGTTATCTCACGTCTCGCCCACCACACTTATTCTGTTTACCCCTCTGCTTTACAGAGAAAGAAACAGCTTCTTCCGCCAGAATTCCTACGTCACAAAGACCTCGCGCTAAGATTGGCACCGTCCTGCTCCATCCCCGACCTCGAGGGCATCTTTTAAATCTAGTCTTCGACTGTCGAGAAAACGACGATCGTGCGTACGAGCGGTACGTAGTATCCTTGAGATACAAAAATGAACGTGTATAATGTACAATGCGCATATTACGGATAATTCATACGTTGTGTAATACCGATTGCAAAAGATTAAGCTTCATTCCTCGAGATCTGACTTGTTTGACGCGCGTTGATGGTTTACGACACGTTTGCCAAATACAAGTTATTACTGAAATACAAAATATTTATTATACATATTGTTTATATAACATTATTCTCACTCTTGCACTGTAACGCGTGATTTTGCGCTTTTACATCGTTTTCCACGGCCGCCATCGACGGAACGTCCACTCTGCGTTTTATCTTAATGATGAACACTGGCTTCCTGGGCACGTTATCCGCTAGAACGCGAGACGGGTCCATGGGCTCGTCGTCCAATAATTCGCCGGTGAGAAGTTTCGCGACAACTGGGAAAACGTCCAGCTTTGGACACATGGACCTGTCGATCGGCGATATCTCAATGCTCGAGACGTACTCGTCTATAACTGACACTAGCTTAACAAGGAATGGATTCAACTTCAATATAGCTATGTATTGCTGTAACTGCAAATCAAAAAGGATCAATTGTATAATTCTGCTTAGGGGAAGATTCTATAGACGTGTGTGTATATCTCGCAAACTTTTCTTACATGCAACGATGTATTAAAAAACGGTACTCATAGATACGTGCCTTATCGTCGGATCTTTCGAGATTGCGTATTAGCTCTTCGATTTCATTTAACAAAACGTAACACTTGGCGAGATATTCACGACTGTATTCAGCCTCGCGAACGTGCAACAGTTCCCTTGTTAAAGATCTCTCTCTCTTTATCTTTTTAAGGAGCTCCGATAACGGTGTCCCAGATAGCGAGCGACTGCCCACATGAATCTTGGAACATTTTTCACGAACCTGTACAATCGATACGCCAAATCCTGTAAATACTTGTACGAGAAATGCATAAATGTAAAATACAAAAGCCTCACCTGTTTGTTAATAGAGCTCCACGAACCGACAATCTCGCTTATGAATAGCTTAAAGTCGCTCGCGCATACGTAATTCTCGGATAAATACAACAGTGACTGGAGCTTATCCGTCAGGCTACACGACAGTTTACCAAACAATTCGAACTTGTCGCGGAAATCAAGAGAGACATCCGGACTGCGACCTTCCGACTTGAGAATGTTCACCTAAATGAAACACATGTTAGTCGTATGCGAAATTCGTTTGGTCGTGAACGCAATTTCTGAACCAGTTACACAAAAGGAAAGTGAAACGTGTCCGTTCCCGACGCTGGTGCGTGATGCTAAACTCACATTTTTTACGAGAATTCGCACGACGTCGCGAGCCGATACGTCGTCGGTCGTCATGACGGCGGCTTATGAAAATTATCTCCAGCTGTATGCGCCTCGTCAAACTGACCGGAAAACAAATGTAGTTCCATAGCCAACTCGACATCGTCCGAGATGCGATGGTGTCCTTTCTTCAGTAGATAGACATATTCAGTTGGTTTCTTTTTATTGATTGTTATGGCTTATATAAACGACACTGTTGTTTTCCTTTTATACATGTACATAAATCTGCCGTTAGTTTGCTTGTATAGCGTATAAGTCACTTTATAACATCGCGTATTAATTTTATTGATGTACATCTCCTTTACGTTCGGCTAACGCTCTTTTTTTTCCTATCGGATGATGTAATGAGGTATCGTATAAGGGATGAGATAATTGAGAATTGACTCTTTCATGGGTCGCTTAGAAAATTAACTTATGGCTTCGTAACCATTAATAGTGATTTCTTAAAGTTATAAGCGCTCCTGGGCTTATTATATCATAAGTAATGTACATATCATTACATTACATGTTCGGTATTAATATTATTATTATTATTAACTGTTGTAACTATATGTCCCTTATTTAGTTATACAGTTATTTTAATAATCGCAGTAGAAACACTTAAAAACATATTTAAATTCGCACTCACTGACAAGGTATGTGCCATTGTAATTTATAGTAAAAGAAAATGGCGCGGTACTGCCATCAAATGTGCTGATCTGCAATCTGCGCGACTTGCTCCGAAACGCCACAACAAATCCAATTATCATAGCTAGTCGTTTCCTAGAATGGCTGTTTCCTAGCGTTGATTCTAACAGGGGGGAAGAGTACCTCTACTAAAAAGAGGACGGATTATTACATATACGTTACATATATGCAATTTACTATAAATATTTTATCCTCTTAGGATACACAATAAATTGCTCTCCGTATTATTGAAATTTTACAAAAATTCGTAGGTTTCACACAAAGCGTTTTTTTTTTCTTGATTTTCTCTCTTGTTTTGATATTACAACTAAGATTCTTCATCTATATTGCCAATAAAAAATCCCGTATTTTAGTAATAAAAATAACTTATCATTGCTTTGAAGAGGAATAAAATACAGTCGACAAGAGCTTTATTTTGAATAAAGGATAATTTAGCAACGAAATATATTTATATTTACTAAACGTAATTTGGAATTATTTATTTAATTATAACTTTGATAATAGAATGTGCAATAGTTTTGTTCAACATTATTACTTAATTTTTTCCTAAAACTTAACCGCGTCCACATGCTAAGCAATATATTAATAATAATTATTAAATTTCATTTGTATTTTTATCGACACACACGAGCCTAGTTTGCAAAGATGAAAATTTATTGATGAAAATGCGTATTAAAACTACAACTAGTTATTCAAACATCACGATCGGAAAAGAAATTATAATTTTCCACAATTCACGTTGAACACAAAATGGTACAATTGGCGATACTCATCCCCCATGGATCGATCCATACAATATATATGTGTATCAAACTTATGCAACGGAGGCAAAAAATGCCACGAGTTTATCAGGAACATGCATCATGTTTCTCGAGTGAATCTCCATAAATAAAATCATCGTCAGATTTCAATGAACGTACCAACTGTCGCAATCCAACAGTTCACTTCCAAATTCACTTTCGTATTCAGAAATGAATAACATAACTATTCTACAAAATCAATCGGCATATAATCACACAGTCTGTTAAAACGGACCGCTTCCAAAATTGTCAATATAGTCCCTAAAATTCTGTGTTCACCTTTGCCGGTCGCTCGCGTTGCCGATGGTAGCGAGAGTGAGCATAGCAATATCTATCAACGTCTGTATCTATAGTGAGGCTGTTGTCTATGACGCGACCGCGACCGCGGGTAGGAAGAAGAATATGGATATGATTTTCGATAAATTCGGTTCCCAAGCCAGTGTTTTGGTTGATTTTGGAATGCATAGTGTGCGCTGGGCCTCTCCTCGTACAACCGATGATAGTTGATCTTCTTTATTCGACCCTTATCGATGTCCTCGTCGTCCGCGTTAAAATGACGTTTACGTTCCTCTCGTCTGTCATTATTGACGTCGCGGTCGAGCTGCGTTTTATTGCCACTCCAGTTCGTCACTGAAAGTGTAAGGCACGAAAGTTACGATAAGACTCTCTGGTCATTCCACAGTTGGATTGAAGTTTCACGATTAAGTCAAATGTACCGACCTGCGGAACTGCCGTATCCGCGATGCGACATTTTCGACAAAAATGAAACTGTCTCCGAGCGATTGGTACCGTTAAAATCTCGCACAGCTGCGGCACTCGGCGTCATACCACTTTGACTTGCCTTGGTGTCCTCCCTAGAATAGATACAGTAAATTACTTCTCGTCTATCGCCTTATTACAGAATTGCATTACGTTAGAGATAAGTAAAAGAATGTACCTGGCATACGACCATCCATTGGACGATCCACTAAAATTGGAAGATCCATCCTTAGCTTGCCAACTTTTACTGCTGTTAGACGCTTTCGTAGATACAAACTCGTCTTGTCCGTTTTTAATTCTGACAGGCTGGCGCCACTTGTCCTTATCGCGTTGCTCCAACTGACTGTTTTCCGCCTTTCCATTTTGGTGCTTCAGCACACTTATCCGGCCGTTACTGTTGGATCCATTCTGCGTTTTCGTACAGTCTACAATCGTCACCTGCATCAGCGTTGTCGACACGCCGTTGGTATTGCTCTTGGGATTGGTTTTCTGCAGCTCTTTAGAATTGGAAACCGTTTTCGCTACGTCCTTCGCAACAAGGCATTTTGGCACACCGTTCGTGACGGTAATTCGGGACGCAGTATTCGACGTTTGATTTTTCAAAGGCCCCGACCCGGAGGAACAATTGTCCTCTTCCTCGCTGGAACCCGCTTCATACGGCACCAAGCTGTTCCCGTTCAGAACCTTCCCGTTTTTTATGTGCACGACTAATCTCGGCTGCGGCTTCTCCTGCGTCTTCTGCGACGATTGCGTACCAACGGTGTCGCTGGGTTTTTGTACAGAAGGAAGATTTAACTCTATAGTTCTCTGCGACGGGAGCTGCGGGCCGATTAACGTAGTTTTACTCGAATTCCCGAGGTCGTTTGACAGTCCGCTCGACGAGCCGTTCGCGGAGCATCCGGCGGACGTCGAGGCTCTGGACGCGGGCGATTTATTCGTAGAATTGGATAACGAAGTCGGTACATTCTTCGCGGATATCGCGCCGTTCATTTTCGCGTGCTGCTGAGTTTGGCTAGAGTTCTCCATTTCGAAGATCATGATGTACGCGTTTGTACTTAATACACTATTAAGGCTTATTTGACGAACGCAAGAATCGTCGAAGGAATAATATTGACCGCTCGACACTTGCGCTACCGCCGTATAGTGGCCGCAATTTACAGAGGGACCCATGTGCGTCACCATCGACATAAGTTTATAAGTTAGCTGCTTGGGAGACTCGCCCGGCTCTCTCCACAAATACTGGCCCATGTCTATAGTCTGTTTGAAACCGATATGTCGCGATATTTTCCCCCCTAGAAAGCTAAATCGTTTCAACTGTACACACAACACTTTTGGCGGGCGCTCCAGCGTGAACTGCTTGGTGGCAGGAACTCTCCTCTTACAGGCTTCGCACTTGTAGTCATTGTTGTCCAACTGTTCTCTACTGAAGTAACTACTTAACGCTTCGTCCAGTGTATTCGCCTTGCGTATATCCACAAGCAAGTCCTGTCAGAATTACACGGCAGGCAGTTAATAAATAAAGGCGTCACGTGGGATATCGATCGCGTAACAGTCACAACAGCGACGACCACTTACCTGAAAGTGTTGAAACGTGGTAGATACGTGTTGACATTGCAGGCACTTGACTTCAGTACGTATGTAGCCACCGAATATTTGATTAATGGGTGTCGTTTCCTTAGAGTAGTTATCCAACTTGGTCGCTTTATGCCTAGTCAAATACGCGCGTTCCATCCCCTCCAATAAATAGCGTAAAAATTCGTGAGCATCTTCTTGCTGTCCAGGCACCATAGTTCGGCAAATGACTGCGGAAACACGGGCCCGTGCTTACAATGCTTGCCGATAGGTGTACAGGTGCAAGACTTATCGTTACAAGTGAATACGTACGCTTTAGTTTATTATATATGTAAAACGGTTTGATCGCACCGCCAGACTTCTGATGGCTGAACTGCAGAGTCTTGGCCACCGCACACGTAAGGCATTCCCCGCCGCCATCTAAAAGCATCCTAGTATCAAAACACCATACAAAACCGTGGTTATAACTGTACTTTCAGGGACAAGCGAGTCGTGCGCGGCTACAACTTACTGTTTTGCTCGCACTTGGAGTTGTGATGCGGGTCGGACAGCAGCCAATTGACGACAGTCGGAACGTGAAACAGGGCCTGAAGAGTGCTGTTCAGGTAACAAGAGTTTCCAACGTTGTACATGCCGGCCCCGACCGGACATATGCCCTTCCACCCGAGGTGGATCTTCTTGGAGGAGTAGAGGGTGACGGCGGGCTCCGGCAGTACCAGCCCTTTGCTCGCGTCGTTCTTCTTCTTGCAGCCGGCGCCGTCCTTCGCTTTGCTCCCCTCCGGACCCTCGGCGGGGGACAGGTTGAGGAAGATGTTGCAGTTGGCCTGCACCTGACTCGCGGCCTGGAAATCCTTGAGCTCCTCGTAGCGGATCTCCGTCTGCATGATCCGCGAGGCATTGCTCACCAGCTCGAGCGACAGATCGTCCGTGGTCTTGGACGGGCTGCTGTTCAGGGCGCAGTGGAGCCTGGCAGCGATGGGATCGCAGACGCTGACCGCGGGCATTTTTCCCTAGCCGTGCGAAATTCCCTCCCGTGGTCTTTGTGTTAAGCGGATATACCTACGGCGAAAACACGGGACGTCAGGCGGACGCGATCTCACGCTGACACCTTCGCGCGCGGACCGTATTGTCCAGGGAGAAGAAAAAGTCAGGACGGTGTCAATTTCATGTCAAATTTTCGTCAATTTCAATGCCATATTGGCCAAAATTTGACATAAATCTGGTCAATATCACATCGAATTCACATCGTCCGGACTCTTTCTTCTCCCTGGGTGATCGCGGTAACAGGGCAGAATCGGAGGGAACGTCGCGTGGCACGTTACCGTGCAGCCGCGAAGCGGGATGAAGACGGGCAATTGCCTCGCGCGCGGGTAAATACGCTTCGCCGGGCGTTCGGAGCGGCGAGGCGCCTCGCGGCGCGGCAGGCCGCGGCGGGACGACGACGACTCCGGGCGATTGTTTACCTGCTCGCCGACGTACGGCGATCCCCGGGCGGTTTGCTGCCGAGGCGAACGCGGCGACCATCTGGCGTGGAGCTGCCTCGGCTCCTGGCACGCGGTAGAGCGCGGCTGCTGGCGAGCCGCGCGCGATATCCGCTCCCGGCTCCGATTCCTTCCCCGACGCGGGACGGGAGTCGCTCGCCGCCGCTGCGGAGGTCGCGCACACACACGTGCGTGCACCCGCGCGCGCGCGCGTTCCACTCACTCTCTTTCTCTCTCTCTCTCACGCGCGCTTTCGCTCTTTCACACCCGTCACAAGCGGATTTCCCGCGTGCACCCGCACGTAACACGTTATTAATGCCGGACGCGATGAGAAGACGTTCGCGCCGCCGCGTGCAAGCGGCAACTCGGTGTCCGACGGCCGACGCCGGTTATCACGTATCGATCGCGCGCGACGATTTCGCGGCACGCACGTACGTCGGACACGCGGGAACCGGAGGCGGGCACGCACGCACGGCCGTGACAGCCATTTGCATTCGCTGCTATCTCCCCGGCACGGCTTCCTGCGAGCGCTTCGCCAGCACGCGGGAAGATCGGACGTCGCGCAAGATGGTTCCGGCCGGCTAAAAGACACGAGGGGGGGAGAGGAGGGAAGAGGTACGTCGGAGCCGACGGTGCGTGTGCGAGAGCGCCGTCGCCGCTTGGCCCGCGCGAAACGTCCAACCGATCGCCGATCGGCGCGCGCGACGTTTCGACCCTTCCTCCCGCGGCACGTTCGACGACTGTGCGACCCCAACACCGCGAGTTCTTGCCGGAGCACCTTCGATCGCGAGCGCGGTCACTTAACCTATCGACAGCGAGCGCGTCCGGAAAGCGATCGCGCGGCTACGAACGAACGCGATTGGCGTACAAGCTCGCGCGCCGATAGGCCGCCGAGCGCACTGTCCTCCTCTCGGTGGGTTTGGGAGCGCGCCCGGCACTGCACGGAATCCGCCTCTCGGTGGGTTTGGGAACGCGCCCGGCACTGGACGGAATTTGCCTCTCGGCGCGTGGTGAGTCCCCCCCCCCTCTCTCTCTCTCTCTCTC